CCCCAAAACCCCAAAACCCCAAAACCCCAAAACCCCAAAACCCCAAAACCCCTTGTTGGATCGATTACATGGAAAACACTATTATGTTTCTATTAATTCCTCATCAGCTTCTTCTTGAGGTTCCTCAAACATTAAGAATTTCAAAGAGTAGAGGTTCTCATTGGTGATTTTGAGCAAGGTATTCTCGTAGAACTTCAATGCTCTATGAATAGCTTTGACAAAGCCCTGCTTCTGCTCTTTCAAATTATGGATCAGTTCATCGTTATATTTTAGTAAATTCTTGCACCAAGTAAGAGCAAGCTCTATATTCACACTATGCTCAAGCTCATATGCCAAGAATGTCATGAGCTTCTCAATGTAATTAACTGGGAAATTTGAACTGATGATTGGAATTGAGGAGGTAGGAATTAACTCAAATGTCTTCTCAATAATCTTAGCCTGGTTAAATTTCAATGCCATCACAATTGCCTCAAGGTAATTCCTTTTCTTCAGCTCGCCCATCAAATTTTCGAGGGTTACTTCAATGTCTAAGTCAATTGGAGAGAAACTTTGGTTATTATTTATTCCATAAATAATGATTCCTTCTGTTGTAGCTCAGGCAAAAGACTTGCCATCAGGAGAGAACTTGACATCCTTAACACGGACAGCAAGTTTAGTTCTCCTCTTAATAGTATTCGGCTTTTTGACTCCTGGGAGATTGTCAGCATCGGTCTTGTCCCACTCAGCATCACTGAGCTCATCTTTTTCCTCTTCTCCAAATTCTGTAATCTTCTTTGAATTGAGTTTGTTCAGGACACCATCAAGAGACCTGTTCTCAGTGATTACAAATCTCTTCATCAGAACCTTGTGATGAATATTGTACATGCAGAGATTCTTACTATTTCCTCCTCCAATAATGAACTCCCCAGTTGAGTTATAACAGATAGAGTTGAAAAAGTTGTTCTTTGTGGATCTCTTGGAAATATTTCTGTCGTCAGAGAGCCTTCCACCTCTGATATCATTATAGCAGTCAAGAGTGGTTCTGGAACTTCCATCCTCCTTATCATAGATGATTACTTGACCACTGAGCAAAGCAATAGAAATCTCTTTGCCACTTGAGTTGATGTCTAATGAAGTCACTTGATCAGCTCCTTCGTAGATTATCTCAACAGGAGTGTTTTTGGTAAAAATATTCCAAATTCTTGCAGTCCTATCCCATGATCCAGAGACAAGGAAAGTGTCAGCAGTAGGAGCAAATTTTAGGGTTGAGACTGGTCCAGTGTGACCAGAGAGGACGTCCAATAGGTCTCCTGTCCTGATGGACCACATATAGATATCATAAGGATCAAAGGCACCAGCACATACAATATCTGTTCCATCACAAGCTAAACTTGTGAACTGAACTGGCTTTGGAGTTGTGAAAGTTCTGAAATTTCTGTACCGGATCAAATCAAAAGCTCTCACTGTTCCATCCTTAGAAGCTGATACAATAGCATTTCCTTTATTTGTGATGAACTCTAGCCCAGTAATAGCTGCTTTATGCTCACTAAATGTGACAAAACAGAATGAATTGTCAGTATTCCATACTTTAATTTTACAATCATCTCCTGCTGTTGCCAAATATGTTCCATCTGGAGAGTAAGCTAGATGCTCAACATCAACTGTATGTCCTTGCTGCTTCAGAATATAAGATTCAGATTTCCATTCCCACACAAAGAGTTGGCCGAGCTTATCACTCGCCATTGCGATCCAGTCTCCTGAGTGATTAATAACTAGACTTGAGATCTTATTCTCTGAAATCTGGAAGGCATGGACAGGCTCAAGGTTATCAATATTATACAAAGAAAAGGTTCCATTTGAGCACCCGACTGCTAAAATTTTCTCAGAAGCCTGTACTATCACAACTTTGGCATTGCCTTCAAGTTTGATTTTGTGCTTCTTCTCTAGTACATATCTGCCTTTGAGAATCTTCTGCTCGAATTCGCTTAAGTAGGGATTCTCAGTTTCCTCGTCTTCTTCTTCATCTTGGCTGTCTTCTTCTTCAACCTTGACTCTTTTGACACTCTTTTTGTAGCTAAATCTGAGTTGTTCTTTGAACTCTTCTGACCGGTCATCAACCCACTTCCAGAGAAGGATGGTTCCATCCTTGGCAAGTGAGAAGATCCTCTCAGTTGTCTGATTAAAGAAGGCATTCACGATTGGGTGCTTATTTCCACTAAAAGTTATTGGGATAAACCCGTCTAGTTTATGAAGAGAGAATAATTTCACAGTCATGTCTTCAGAAGTGGACACGATGAACCTTGAGTCGTCCGACCAGTTCATGCTGATCACATTCCCTGTATGCATCCTATTGTACTTCTTGAATAGTGATAATGGTGCGAAGGTTTTCTTCAAACTGGGTGTCTCAAAAATCCTGATCCTTGTGTCAGTAGCAATCGCGAAGAATTTGTTATCAGGGCTGAATGCTAATGCAGAGACTGCTGCCCTGAAGTTGAAATGAGCAAGGATAACTCTTTGTCTGAAGTTGACAATCAGCCCATATCCATCAATATCAACCATGATAAGGATCTTTCCGTTCGGAGAGAGTGCAATTCTGTCAATATTACTCCTACACTCGAAAGGGAGTGTTTGACTCTTGTTATTCTTCAGGTCAAATAGAGTAATTTTATTTCCTACTGGGGATAAGAGTAAGTCTCTGTCATCATGAGTGAAGGTAAGGTTACCTCCTCTGTAGACTACACCCAATACATTCTGGAGCTATAGAGCTTTAACATTTTGCAACTTACCTTATAAGAGAGCATTAAATTCAATTATTAATTAATCTCTGGGGTTTTGGGGTTTTGGGGTTTTGGGGTTTTGGGG